GACTTAGATTAAATTTCCAAGGCCCCCATCAATAGAAACTGTGTGCCTTTTTTTTTTTTTTTTAAGTCAAGCATACTACCTTTTTTTGTGTGCGTGTGTTACTAGGGGTTGAGCCTAGGGGCACTCTACCACAAAACTATATACTCAGCCCTATTTATTTTTAATATTGAGACAGGGTTTCACTAAATTGCCCCCGCAGGCCTTAAATTTGCAATTTTCCTGCCTCATCCTCCCAAGTGGCTGGGATTACAAGTGCAGTCACCACACCTAGCATTTTTCTTTTTTTTTAGTACTCCTTAACCTTCTTAGCAAGACTTATCATTTAGGTCTAGGAACTGGTTTTGTGTTTTGCATCATAGTCCCTAGACTAGAAATCTTGGTGTCCTTGTTTGTAAGATTATTATTATCTGGAAGCTGCATCACTGTTGATTTAGCAGATTCATTACAATGTCTTTATATAATACAATAAAGTATTTTTATCCCTTTATTATTTTATCACCTACATGTAGTTTTTATCTTTTTTTTTTTTTTAAAGAAAAGACTTTTCCTGAATTGTGGAAACAAAATTCCCAATGTATACATATCCCATATCTGTGCCATTTTCTGCTTTGTGCTTTAAGCAGCTCCTTAGAAGTGACTATTGGACTTTGCATTTGAAAGTCTTTAATTGGCACTAAATTGATCATAATATCTCTTTTTAGAAACCAAGAACAGGAAATTTAGAAATATTCTTAGTTTTCTGATAACTAATTTTTATTGTCTTTTGCAGAGGGCTAATTTTAAAATTGTCTTGCCTGAATCCTGTCTTCTGGAAATGGTCATAGATACTTATATCTGCAACATTGTTAGTGACTAACAAGAATAATGCAACTAGGTATATGCATAGCAAGTGCAGGAGATAAAAGTAGGAAGATGTTTGTCTATAATTCCCTTACTGTGTTGTTTGCAACAAATTCCTCATGTTTATAAAATGATGCTTTAGAATTTTGCTTTGCTAGTAGTTAGTAAGCATAGTAAATGATTGGTTATCAAAGAACCAAAAGAATTTTTTTTATCAAATAAGTTATTTTAAAAGACCTTTCATTCATCATATGCAATTTGTTCCTGTTGTTTTTTTTTTCTATACTCTTTTTTTTAACATATTTTTAAAAGTTGTCATCCAGTATAATTTCAGAGAAGATTTTGGGTAAATAAACACCAGGTACAAATAACAAATGTCAGCCTGAGCTAATAATAAGAAGATTGTTGATTTTTTAATGTCCCTAAAGTTTGGAAATTGAAATCATTGGGATTCGAAGTAGTGTGCTATTACTCAGGGTTTGGAGGAAAAAGGTAAAAGATGTCTGATTACTTTGATCTTTGTAACTTTGTGCCTACCCTAAGAATATTTTGGGAGGTGAGTTGGTGTCAGAAACACTTACTGTCCAAGTGGAGGACTGCCAGGTTAAGAAACATGTATGTGTTCTAGAATAGGGAACTTTGTGCAATGGAAAAAACATTCTGGTGTCAGACTTTCACCCATTGCAGCATGTGGCTGAGTTGTGTGCCCTGGGAGAGTCACTGTATTTCTTTGAATCTGAGGTTTAAAACTGAAAAATAAGGGCTAATTATCTACTTCACAAGGTTGTTGCAAACATAATGAAAAAGCCCAATCAGAGAGCTTGGAACATGGTCTGTACATTTTTTTCCCTCCTCTCTAAAGTCCTTTGAATCTTTCCTTTTAAAAATATTATTATTTTTTTTAGTTGTGGATGGACACAGTATCTTTATTTTCTTAATTACTTTTATGTGGTGCTGAGTATCAAATCCAGTGCCTCAAGCGTGCTAGGCAAGCACTATACCACTGAGCCTCAACCCCAGCCCTCCTTTAGAGTCTTTTGAGCCCTCCTTAGAATCTTTTTGAGTTGCTGCTATTTAACGTTATTCTCCTCTTCCCCTTTTTGATGAGGGAGAATTCACTGAGGTGTACCTAGGCATTTGTAAGTTCCTCAGAAGTGTGGAATTTTTTTTTTATGGGGGTGGGGGGCTGGGGATTGAACTCAGGAGCACTTGACCACTGAGCCACTTCCCCAGCCCTATTTTGTATTTTATTTAGAGATGAAGTCTCACTGAGTTGCTTAGTGCCTCTCTTTAATTGCTGAGGCTGGCTTTGAACTTGCCATCCTCCTGCCTCCACCTCCTGAGTGGCTGGGGTTACAGGCATAAATGGCCTGGAAACTGTTTTTTTTTTTTTTTTTTTTTTAAATGTGTAAATATCTCCAGCTTTCTTGTGAGTACATTCTGGCTTTCCTAAGATTCTTATGTCCGTGATCACTTTCCCCTTTCATCTTTACTGCAGTAAAACAGAATTAAGAATCACTGCCCCAGAGTAAGTATAACCACAAATGGTATTTTAGTAGTCTGACCAAATTAAGTGTGTGCCTTATGGAACTGATGGGGATGGGAGGACAGAATTTCAGCCTTCTGACATTGGCTGCTAATTTGATTTTACATTAAACTTTTCAGATTTACTCTCAAGTATAATTGTATTTTTTTAAAAACCTGTTTAATAAAATATTTAAAAACTTGGGATGTATATAAAATAAGATCCATTTATATTACAGAAAGAATCTTTTTGGAAAATTGGGACTAAGAGTGGGGAAGTTTTTCAACCTGAAGTAAAAAAAGATTTAGTAGGGTTCCCCTCCCCTGCTTACTTGGGATTTAATCCCAGGCCTCACTCACTGAGCTATATCCCCCTGTATCTCCAGCCCTGTTTATTTTTAGTTTGAGGCAGTATCTCACTGATTTGCTCGGGCTGGCCTCAAATTTGCAATCCTTCTGTTTTATCCTGCCAAGTAACAAACCAAATTATTTTAGCTCAAATATGTGATATACTAATAGAGCATATTATCCAAGGATCAACCAGGAATGGTGGCATATACCTGTAATCCCTGCTACTCAGGACCCTGTCTCAAAAATAAAAAGGTATAGGAATAAAGTTCAATGGTAGAATGCCTTGGGTTTGATCTCCAGTCTGGAAAAACAACAACAAAAATAGTTTCCAAGGAAGGTTTTAGAACATCTGTTAAATAAATTCAGTTATACAATAGCATTATTTGAGGTCTGTTATGGAAAAGGATGCTGTGGCTTCCACTCCTTCACTAGAGAAATATGTGTTCAGCTATCAGTCTGGGAGATACCATAGCATAGTGCTTATGAGTTGCATCTGGATTTCAAATCCTATTGTGTTACTGTGTGACCTTTGGTAAGATACCATAATTGCCTCAGCTTCCTCATCTATAATATTTGGAGAATAATTGTATCTGACTCACAGGGCATTAGAATTAAATGACATACTTGAAAAGCTCTTAGACCACTGCTCATTTCATTATAAGCACTGTGAAAGAGTTAAATAAAAATATGTAATCTAGTTAACAGAATGCTTATCCCTATAAAAGGGTAACTTAGTAGTATAAGACAGTATATACTGTGTATTAACAAGATTAAGTTCCCTTTAATTTTTCAGATTAGTGTTCAATGTGGATTTTATGTATAGAGTAAGAAAACTTAAAAATCTAAGGAAGAAGAGTGTAGATCAAGAACTGGATTTGAAGAGGTGAAGTTCAGATAGAGAATAAATAATAAATAATCAAATTAGAGGGGGATTATATGAACAAACAGAATTAGAAGGAATATAAATAGGCTATAGAAGTTGGAGAGGAAGTAGAGAATATTGGAAGTATCTTAGGAAGATAAGTGTGGACAAAATTATTGTAGACGTCTTTGGGTACAAAGATAAGGCTTTGAGATTTGTATATGTGGATTTTTCATCATTCACAAAGGAGAAGCTTATAGATTACTTTGTAACCCAAAGTAAGCATTCAGTAAATGTTAGTAGTAGCAGTAATGTCTGCGGTGGTTCACTGTAGGGAGGTTATTTCATTGTTTTTGACTCTGCCTTCTTACAGACTATGCTGTGATGAGCATCTTTTTCATAAAATTATGATTCCTAAGCAGATACTTAATACTGTACTTTAAGCTTTCATGGGAGGGTGATTATAAGTTTCAGAAAGGATGGTTAAAGAGAAATAAGGGAGATTTTACCAGCTCTAGTCACTTCCTTTTGCCAAGAAACCCCATAGTAGTCATCACAAAAGGTCATTATGGTACTAGCTGCCAGCAGGGAGTTTTTCAAGCATACTTAATAAAAATGATAACCTGTTAGGGAACTCTTCTATGAGTAATAGAAATTTAAAAAGAAAAAAAAAAAACAGGGAGGCTTTGGGAAGGTAATTTAGCATGTAGAGCACGATATCAGAGGTGTTTACATATGGCATAATACAAAACCAATGGTCATAAAACTCCATAGGAAATATGAAAAAAAGACTTGGGAAGTTTGGGGGTGTGGTTATATATATGTATGTGTATGTGTATATATACACATACACACACCACCCATATATATATATATATATATGTACAAATATATATATATATATATTGAATTTGTAAATGCAGAACCTTTTTGACTAATATTGATATACAATAAGTAAACTACCAAACATTTCTTATATCTTAGAAATATCTTAGATTTTTTTCATCCTATTATTATTTAAGGAAGTCAATATAAAATTAAATGCTCTAGTAAAAAAAAAAAATTGTCCCACATTTAGAGGGGAAAAACTAAGCAAAGTACTATATTGTGTGTGTGTGGGGGAGGGGGAGTGAATCCCCCTACACATGCCAGGTATTCTGTCACTGACCTACATCCCTAGCTTATTTTAAGTTATTTTTAATAACTTTTGTTCATAAAACAAGATTTCTTTTTCTTAGATAGGAATGTAAGTAAGTATTTTTCTGTCTTTAATAAAAATAATGTCTGGTTATAAAATAAAAATTCAAGGATTACTTTTTCTCTCAGATAACTTAAGATTCACCTTGAATGATTCATCTATAGTTTTTGGATAAGTAGCATTATTTTACATGAAAAGCTGTTTAATGTATTTCTCTTTTCTTAGGCATCTTTCTTAACAAAGAAGTTAAATATTGGTGGGAAAAGAGTAAACCTTGCCATATGGGTAAGTTAACCTTTTCATCTATATTGAGTGGTATCTGCCTGTTTTTAATATTTTGATAACTAATTTATGGAATACTGATTTTTTTCCCCTAGGAATAGGAATTTGAATTTCTCTATTTTTTTGAAGTTAACTGAAACTTAGGCAATTTTGTTTATGATTTTAAAAATTCCTAAAATCTAGTTAAGAATTATATTTAAATATTCATGTCATATTGACCCTAGCTACAGAAGGATCAACTCAGGATTCTACTTCAGAGAGTGGATAGGGTGGGTAGGATTGGCTTCCCTCCCAAAGTGCTAGCCTCTCACTGGTGGAGGGTAGGACAAGGATAATATAGTAGCATCTCTGTAAGCAGGTGGTCCTGGTGCATACTCCCTTTTATTTCTTTTCTCTATGGGGGAATCTGAATTTAGGGCAGGATCTATTCCTGGTTCATAATGTAGCATTGGCCATTTTGACCCTCTAACATCTGCTTGGTTTTTTAGTAAGGTTGCTGAGAAGAATTGGGAGAGGGAATTGACCTTTGTTTAACAGTAAAACATTTCATGTTAACCTAATGTTTTCTTTCTTTCTTTTTTTTTGGGTAACCTGTTTCTTTTAATAGTGTTTTGGGATTATCTGTGACTTTATGCTGTTTTTTCGTTGATCAGAAGTTCACTGAAGTTGCAAAAGCAGACATGCAGACATTTTTTCTTCTGGTTTAATAAACGTTTGTTGCTTTATTTAGGATACAGCAGGTCAAGAAAGATTCCATGCATTGGGTCCAATTTACTACAGAGATTCAAATGGAGCAATTTTAGTTTATGATATAACAGATGAAGATTCTTTTCAAAAGGTATGCTGTTTACTTTTGGGTAGATGATTTAATGAGAAGAACAATGATTTTTCGAGTTTCCATTTACAGTTAGTATGCAGTTTGCATAAAAGGTGACTACTTGTTTTTACTGAAATGTTTAATTTTTATTAATTCATATTAGAGTAATTAATCATTTATTGCATGGCTTTCTCAAAGGGAAGTAATTAAAGTTAAGCTTCAGAAAAATACAGGGGCTTTGTTTCTCCCTGTAAAAAAAAATCTCATTTATTTGATTCTGTAGATATTGGGCACCTGAAAACTTGGTGTAGCTATATGGGCTCCCTTTTTGTGAAGAGAGAAAAGGAAGAGCAAAATCCAGTTTAAGCTCTTTCTCCTCACTAAATATTCTGGAAGGTACATTGTAAATTTTCAAAGGACAATATAAGTAGTGTTTGTTTATTTAAAATTCCTTTGTTTTTTTTTTAAAAAAACCTCCTCTTCAAACTTGCACCATAAATGTAAGATTTTTAAAGTTGTTTGGGATAAAAAATGATTTACCATTAAGCTTACCCTCTGAATTCTCATGGCAATCAGGATTAGTTATTTATTTGACCTTCCTTCCTAAAGCCTTTTTTTGGAATAAATTTGTCAGCAATGTGTAATGAAAGGGGATAATTTCCAAGGCAAAAGCTTTTTTTGCCTTGAGTTACAGGTTTATTCTTGTTAAAATTTCTTGCCTTTTTAGTTTAGTTTTGCTCTTTTTTTTTCCAGTAAAATCTAATGGTGCAGATAGATATACTAGTTAGCTCTTGGATTATTAATAACATAGTAAAGCAGTCCAAAGAGTAGGGAAATGAAATAGTATGTATCTTGCTGATTTAATGATTTTTTAAAGTTATTTTGGGGCTGCTGTTTGCTGTTTATTATCCCTTCCTGGATTTTTGCATAAAAATAAATGGTTTAAGTATTTTGTTGATTAAAAGAAAGTCTAGAGTTTTGGATTGAAAAGTGCCAGTTACTTATTAATACATAATAAGAACCCCAAAACTTCATGGCTTAAAAAAGGATTTATTATTTCTCATGATTCTGTGGGTATACTAGGTAGATCCTGTGCTTTGTCTGGTATATTGTTCCACCTAGTTACTCTTTTCTCCACATGCTTTCTCAACATTCTTTTTTTTTTTTTTCTATTGTTGTTATTGTTGCTTTTGGTATGGGGGGAGGGAGTGTTTGGGGATCAAACTCAGGGCTGCTATACATAGAGATACATCTCTAGCCCTGGTTCCCTTTGAATTTGAACTTGTATTTTCCCTGCTGCTATCCGCCACCCACGTTGCTGGGATTACATGCATGTGCCACCGTGCCCAGCTATCATTCTGTATTCTTGCTTAAGCTTTGTGTATGATATCTGGATTTCAAGAGAGCAATCGTAGAAGCTGCCCAGTCTTATAACATTAAGTCTGAAACTGGCACAATATTGCTTCTGTCACTTCTCTTAGTCAAAGCATGTTACAAGTCCATCTGAAATTCTTAAGGTGGGGAACTTCACTACCTATTGATAGAAGGCTAGGTGAAGCTATAACCAACTTTAATTCACCTCAGAATGGACAAGGGTAAGATAAGAATTAGGAGGCCTGTGGAACAGAATATAATTGAAGATAAATAACAAATTACTTTGTGTGTTTTGTTTTTATGGTACTAGGGATCGAGCCCAGAGTTATTTCACTAAACTATTTATACCCAACCCTTTTTATTTATTTATTTATTTATTTATTTTGATAAATATCTCACTTTTAATGCTCTTGCCTCAGCCTTCCAACTAGCTGGGATTATATTGATTGAATACTGGATTGATTGATTGTGGTGCTGGAGATCAAACTGAGGGCCTTGGACATGCTAGACAAGTGCTCTATCACTGCGCTGTATCCCCAGCTTAATAACAAACTTTATAAAATTTGATTAGATTAATAGGTTGTAGAGTACAGGGAGTAAAGTAATATGTAATTGGATTCTGGTCTGTTTCTCTTGGGATGATGAGGATGTATATTTTTTTTTTTTACCAGTTTTGTCATTTTTTTTCTTATGTGAAATTGACTAAATGCTTTGAAATCTTTATGTATTTGTGAACCAAACAAAATATGGGGCTACACTGAGGAAACTGGTTTAGCCCTTAATAAAGATAAGGCAATGATAAATAATTACCTTTGGTTTTTATAAGGATTTGGGGTTGCTAAAGATAGTTCCTCTGTGTTCTTGCAAGGAGTGTGGAGCTGTTATATTTGTACTGTAGGACCAATGTACAGTAAGTGCTTATCATATATCTAATATAGTTTTTGTAATTTATAGGTGTATATATATTTTTTAAGGAAGGTGTGATTTGACTGCATACAGATTAAATTTTGTTACAAGAAAGCAGATGTCTCAAGTTTGTTCTTTATCTTTTTTTTATTATAATCCTGTTACTTTTGTTATAATATTATAAGCACGTATTCAGAAGATTAATTTTCTTAATTCTAGTTTACTCCCACCTGCATCTGCTGCTATGATATGCTTAATATATAGTGGAGAATCAGTTTATTACTAGAGTTGTCTTATACCAGTGGTTCTCTACCAAGGGATGACAATGTCTGGAAACATTTTTTGGTTGTCACAGCTGGAGGATACTATTGGCTTCTGGTGAACAGAAGCAAGGGGATACTATTAAATTATCACACATTACACAGGGTAGTCCTTCACAATAAAGAATGATCTGAGCAAAAAAAAAAAATAACAGTAGTGGCAAGATAAAAAAATGTATATGGGCTTGTCACACATTAAATGATGAAAATATATTTTGCTATATTCTCTTTTTTGGTGCCCATATACATTTTTTTTTCTCTTTAAATGTATGATAGAGAAGTTCTTAGGCCCTCTTTTTAAAAACCAGTGACCGTACTAAAGACTATTTTAAGCCCACATTGACTATAGACATTTATTATCATTTATTATAGACATTTATTGATATGCTTTGGTAAATAGCTTTGTTTGGATCTATCAAAAATTTATAAAAATCTGTAATCAGAGGTGCATCTGTAGATACATACATATTTAGAGAGAGAGAAAAATCTTTTCATTTTATGTGTTTTGCAGTATAATCTGATAATAGGAAGCTATTAGACATTTTGTGGTATTTTGCCAATGTTGAATATTTAGGTGATATTATAGTACTAATTTTAATAGGATTTGTTTTAATATTTGTTCTTTTTATACACAGGTAAAAAACTGGGTCAAAGAATTACGGAAAATGTTGGGAAATGAAATCTGTTTATGTATAGTTGGTAAGCTTCATTACTTTAAAAAATCCTTTGTTTTCTTAATGTTTTAGTAAAAAAGTAATTCTTTTTAAAAGTGACATGAGAAAGAAATAATTATAGTATTTTAGTATTAAATATTTTAGAATAACTTAGTATTTGAAGGTGATTTTACAAGAGGTACAAACCCTATACTTCAGGGAACACCTTCAGGAACAGATTGGATGCTAACCTTTTAAGGCTTCAGGTTCTCTAGTCTTGCTTTATTTAGTTTAGCCTTTGCTGTTTTTCACTATAAGATTTTGTTTAAAAAAAAAGAGTTTAGGAACTATTTTAAATAAGATTAAAGGGGCGGGGGCTGGGGTTGTGGCTTAGTTGTAGAGCACTCACCTTGCACGTGCAAGGCCCTGGGTTCAATCCTTAGCACTACATAAAAATAAATAAATAAGTAAGATTAAAGCCAATTACTTAAGTCAGTATTCTTGTTTTATACATTTAACTATATACATTTTTGAAACAAGGACAAATTTGAATGCAGGGATGCAGTAAATAGATTATGATCCTGGGGAGGAGGAATTTTGTTAGTTGGTAAAATAAGAAGACTTCTAGAGCTCAGTCTTAGACTTCTAGAATTTTTCTTTGGTTCCCTTTATCTTCAGATGATTATTTCTATGATATATTTGTCACACAATGAAAGTATACGAGGAACTATCCTCTGCACTCAACAGACATTATCTCATACAATCCTGTAACCCTACAAGGGCTTTATAAAAGAAGCTGAGTCCTGTACATACATACTTGCCCAATGTCAGGCAGGTATCAGAGATGGGATTTGAATTGAAATCATTTTGACTTGTGTTCTTATGCTATTAATCCTTAAGATGTGCATTGTCAGTCTGTTTTCTCCTTTTCCATGTGGCTGATAATAGCAAGAATGAATTTAGAGAAATCTGAGTAGTTTTAGTGGAGGATGAAGGTGGTATTTAGGTAAATGAAGAAATGGTCAGTGTGGGAAAATCTTGCTTTTAGCCATAAGAATTATTTTTTTAACTTGAATTTATATTTCTTGCATCTTGTCACCACCAGATTGGCAACTTTACAATCTCATATCAGGGCACAAATTGGGTGGTGTGGGGTGGTGTGAGAAGTCAAAGAGATACTTTTGTCCTGCCTTTTAGTCTAAATGTTAGGTGGTTGACTAGACAGCAGTGATATTTCGGACTGAAACACTAGAGTAACAAACTACATAATGTTTGACACCAAAGTTGCAGTTAGTCATTTTGAGGTTTGTGTGTCTTTGTGTGGTATATGGAATTTATCAAGAGTAGAAAAGACCACAGTTTGTAAATGATTGAACATTTTCTTTTGGAGGATTGTGTCATCTCTCTAAAACAAAGAAATAATACTAACACATATACATAAGAAAGAGGAGCCTCAAGAGCTTGTTACTTTACCAAGGTCCCTCACAAAAGTAACATTAAAACAACAACAACAAAAAAAACCTGGCTTAAATAAGCTCATGAATAGTTCATTTAAATTGTATTTTCTTATTGTTCATATTATAAGAAGGTTTGGAACGACTAATATGACATATAAAAAGTTCTCTCTCCCTGCTACTGACAAGTATGTCATGGAAGTTTAATTAGAATTCAGAGTTATAACAAAGCTCATTTACTATTGTTCCCAAACTTAGCTACATATGGTGGTGCTGAGGATCAAACCTAGTGCCCCACATGTGCGAGGCAAGCACTGTACCATTGATCGATAACCCAACTCCCTGAAGAAGTTTTTTTAAAAAGATAAAAATTCTTTTGAGTGGCTTCTTTGAATCAAATACTATACTATAATTGTAACCTATATGTACTTTTCGATATTTGGGAACACTTTATCTGATCTGACCCAGTGCAAGAATCTCATTTAGATCATCATGTTACTCTTGTATGCAGATTTGTGGTAACACTGTGTTTTTATCAGAAAGGCTGCTTTTTAAAATAAATGAATTTTGTTAGTTAAAAACTGATAATATTCCCTATAATCTTTACTTACTGATTTTGTGTGTGTGTGGGGGGGTATAACCTGAGAGTGAACCCAAGGGCACTTAACCACTAAGCCCCAGCTCCAGCTCAGTGGTATTTTATTTAGAGACAGGGTTTCTCTAAGTTGCTTAGGGCCTCTTTAAGTTGCTGAGGCTGGTTTTGGTGATCCTCCTGCCTCAGCCTCCCAAGCTGGTGGGATTACAGGCATGTGGTACCACTGCAGCTGGCTTACTGTTTTAAGTGTATTTTTCATTGAAATATAATGTGTATTTAAAAAGTGTACACATCTTCAGTAACAACATAATTTTCACAAAATGAAAATTTCATTGTGTAAAATATGAAAACCCCACTGACACGTCTTTCTTACCCCAGCACTATTATAGTTACCTTTTCTTCACTGCCCTTCACCCTACACCACTACCCTGACCTTTTGATACATGAAGTAGTTTTGTTTTGAATTTATATAAATGGAATCATATGAAGTCTTGTGTCTGACTTCTTTGGCTTTTCATTATGTTTACAAGATTCTTCTGTGGTGTTGCACATAGTTGTAGTTGATTTTTATTCTTTGTTATCTACTTCTTTATGAATATTCCACAGTGTATCCGTTTTGCATTACTTCTTACCTCTTGATTTTTATTTTGTCCTCTGTGGTAGTTCAGTGTTTACTCTGTCTTCCGTTTTATTACATTTAGTAAATGGTAATAGTACTTCACAGTACTCTATTGAAGATTTTATAATTATTTGGAAAATGCTTGGCATAGAAATAGACATCTGACAAAATATTCTTTTCCCTTTGCATAAGTCAGCACTTCAAACATTTGAAGCCTACTTGAATTATTTGCATGAAGTCTTTAAATTCTTCAGATCCTTAATTTTTTTTTTTTCATTTGGCTTACCTTCTAGACTTCCTAATCATCATGATCATTTTCTCTTAGGTTTGTTCCAGTGGTCAGTGTCTCCTACACCCGAAAGAAAAACTAGAACCCAGATGTTAAACTGATGTATTCTTTCAGGGTCCTCTCCCCTTTCTTTTAGTACTGGGAGCTGAACCCCGGAGTCTTTACCACTGAGTCCCTTTTATTATTTTGAAACAGGATCTAAGTTGCCCTTGAACTTGCTATCTCTTGTGGTAGCCATCCAAATTGCTGGGATTACAGGTGTCTACTACCATTGCCTAGGCAAGCCCAGAATTCCCTGGGCTCAAATTATCCTCTCTTAGCCTCTGGGGTCGCTGGGACTACAGTGTTTGCCACCACACTCAGTTTCTCTCTTTTAATACTTATGCTGTCCTATCAAGATTTGTTAAGATAGCATGAAGTTTTTAACAGCCATGTCAACTTATTGTCTCTTTTACGTAGATAATAGTATTGTTCAGTCAGGCTTTTCCAGCTTGTTCTTATGTAATTTAGTTATTTAAATCTATAGGTATTTCAAATTGTCATACATATTCGAACCTTGGATTTACAGTCAATTCATTTTTTCATGCATAAACTGAATATTTAACCATCTAGAGTCTTCTTTAAGGCACTCGATAACCATGTGTTAATCAGTTATGGAGAACCCCGTACTTTACTAGCAGAGATCTTTTCCTGTAGATTGTGTTCCTCATTCATTGAATGACAGTCTTGGCTGTGATTGTTCTATTTAAGCTAGTATTCTGCATCAGACTTGTCTTTAACACTTGTGTATTTATTAAGTAAATATTATTAATCATGACTACCATTTATTGAGTGTCATGAACTATATGAACTACATGGTATTTCATTTAGTCCTTCTAACAATACTACAAGAAGATGATTTCCATTTTATGGATGGATGAATGGGCTTAGAGAGCTTTGTACTTCACAAAAACATGTATCAGGATAGACCTAGGAGTTTAACTCAGGTCTATGTGTTACTTCAGGCCCATATCCTTAAATAACACTGTTGTTTGCTATATCAGGTTTTGGGCCTAGTGTAGTTAATACATAAAATAGGTATGGTCCTTATCCTTTCAAAGCTTATTATAAAGGAAGTGAGAAAAAAACAAGTTACCATTGTATATTATGATTTCTGCTATGAAAAGGGAAGTGCAGAATGGAGTCTTGTAAGACCACAAAAGCAAACTTGTCTAGATTTAAGGAGTAAGGGGAGATTTTCTAGAGCACAAATGGTTAAACTAAGTTAGCTAAATGCAGCTAGTAGGATTGTAGTAAAAAGTGTGTTACCTGTCATGGAGTTTAATTCTCTATTGATTTTTCGTGATTATTGATCACTCACTGTGATGAATGTGGCTGATATTAATAACGAACTCTTTATTGAACAGATACTATATGCTAGGGATTTTTACCTAATTAACCCTGCAAGGTTTGCTAGCTATATTTGTACATTGTGAAACTAAGGGAGGTTAAGTAATTTACCCAGGATTTTAGTGCTATGAAATAAACTGGGATTGAAAAATGTTTTATTTTATTTAAAAGTTGTATGTCTTTTACTAGGAATTGAACTCAGGGATGCTCTATCACTGAAGTAGATCCCCAACCTTTTTTATTATTTAGTTTGAGACAGGGTCTCACTAAATTGCCCAGGCTGGCCTCAAATTTGTGATCCTTCTGCGTCACTGGGATTATAGGCATGTGCCACTAAACCCAGCTGGAAAAAGTGTCTTTCCATTATGCCTCACATATCCAGACTAAACAAAATATAATTCTAATTCTTTATCACTAATTATGCCATCTCCCCTTAGCAATGAGCTTATCTCTTCTTCCTTTTTTTTTTTTTTTTTGGAGTATTGGGGATCAAACCCAGGGCTTTGCATATGCTAAGAAATAAGCAAGTGCTCTACCACATTCTTAATTCAGATATGTATTTTTTTAAGAGAATTAAACAGTGGCTTTCTCCTTTCCTCAGTCCACTTACAAAAAAATTAATAAAATCTTCATCGTATACTTTCCAAATAGATTTTGATCAAGTAGATGCTTACTCTGCTGGTTGCCCTTGTTTTCAGGTGCCTTAAGCCTTTCAAAAATCCATGTAGCGGAGCTGGGGTTGTAGCTCAGTGGTAGAGCGCTTGCCTAGCACGTGTGAGGCACTGGGTTCAATCCTCAGCACCACATAAAAATAAATAGATACAGTAAAGGTATTGTGTCCATCTACAACTACAATTTTTTAAAAAATCCATGCAGCTGCAGAGTAGTATCAAATAGGAGCTTCAGAGCTTTACTTCCTTAGCTGTCTTGCTTTTGAAAAAAGAAATTACAAAGGGTTTTGAACTTTGGAAAGAAATCAGTCACTAACGAGTCAGTTTCCTGTGACATTTTCTGTGCCAACAATTCATTGTGATCACTGATTGTTCTAAGAAATAGTAGTTATCTATTAGAGGGATTTAAATTTTGTATTTAAATAATTAAGTCATTAAAATATCTATGATAGTTAATAATGGTCTGATTTATTAAAATTAGTCAAAATTTTGAATATTATTACATGATAAAACATTAATTTCCCTCAATGTTCCTTTGAAACAGTAAGGTGATTGATTACCTTCTTTCTCTGACCTCACTCTTTTTTAGGTGTTGATGATTCTGGTGGAATTTTTAAAACAAAGCATTAAAAACCTAAGAAAAAAATGTTTATAGGGTTTTAGTTGGTTGGACCAAAAGTTTTCTTACTATTAGGGGATTAAATTGTTTAACCTTTTTAAAGGTACAGTCTTGTGCCTATTAGAGCTACTTGCCACCAGATGGTGCTTTTTGCATTCTTTATAGAATAAAATAACTTGTTTTCCCTCTAGTTACTGTCAAATATACTGGCTACAGTATTTAGCAGATTAAAAATTTTATTGACAAATTATAACATAGGAAATCAGAATTAATATAGAACTTCTTACTAAGGTAGACAGGTAACTGTTCAAAGTAGAAAAATTCATTACTGACTTCCATGGTACTCACTGATCTTTATTGTTTTGTCTGCTTCTCTCCTTCTCATCCTTAGGCTATAATGGCAAATAGTTTCTTGTAGCTACCAGCAATTAGTGTTCAATTGTTTGAGATTCTCAATATACAGAACTGCTGGATTTAAACTTTTCAGTGCTAAATATTATATCTTTCCTCAGGTGTTTACTTGAATACTTTATCTAAAATTTCTCTAAAATTTTCTTCTCAACTCTATAAGGTCCCAAGGGGGAAAAATGACCTTGATTATAAGATTTCTTTTTTTTTTCTCCCTAGAATTCATAATAGAAGAAAAAAAATATTTGAAGTGTTTTTCCTTAAGGTCTTTTTCCCTATTCTTAACTGTTGCTTCAGTTACCTTTAGCACTCTGTGTCTGGCCAACTCACCTTAACTTTTGTCCTGTATTTAGTAAGAACTCTGCAATTTACAGTATCTTTATTTTTGTTCTGGTGACTTTTTAGCATAATCTTGGTTTTGGTGCTATTGTTTAAAGAGAGCTAAATTTATTTCTTTTCAGCAATTTAAATCTGCATGATATGCATATATTAAGTTCTAATAAGTCACTAAAATAATATATTTTTTGTCTCTGTGATGGTAAAGTTCTTAAAAATCCATACATTTTAAGTTTTACTTTAACTCATTTATATTATCTAGGAAACCAGAATCTGTTAGGGCCCAAGAAGTTAGCTGAATATATTTTAGTAAACAAAAAGATAGCCATACTTAATTATTGACTGGCTGTGAGTTGATTGGGGAACATAGAAAATTTTTTCCTTTTTAGCCATTAATGTTTTGCTAAAAATTGCAAGTTTTCCCCTACATTCCCTGGGGAGTCTTAATCCCTGTTATATCTACATCAAAGAATAATGCATATCTCCTTGAAAAGTAGTTTTCTTTGACACAGTCTGAAAATTTAGGGATATGCATTAATCCATTTGAGGGAAGATGATTTGTTCATCTTGACAATTGTGAACAGCTCTCATATGATACGGATTAACTTTATAGTTTTAAGACATTTAGAGGTCTGATAGGGATTTGTATTACTTTTTTCAGGTAATTAAGATGGCAGTTGTACATTTAGAATTGGCTTAATTTTATTATAAAAATGAATCAATGTTAAGATTAGTATTTACTTTTTTCAAATTAGGTAATAAAATAGACTTGGAAAAGGAGAGACATGTTTCCATTCAAGAGGCAGAATCGTAAGTGTCTGGCACCTCTACCTGCACACCCCCACCCCACCTTGTTACTCCCCAGAAGTCTTCCTCTTTGTATAGTATATATTACCATTAAGATGTTACTCAAATCTCTTAAGGTTTTAAACTGTTGAATTCAGTGAAACATGTTTATGTTGGTAGTTTCTAGAGTTTTGACAATATTTAAAAATATTCTGCTTTCAGTTCCCATTTTGATTTCGTTAAAAAATAAAAGAATTATGTTAAAAAATTACCATGTTCAAATAGGCAGTGAATCACAAAAGCTTAAGAATTTGAGTTTCAAATTAATCTATAAAAATTTTAAGTCTTATTATTTGTGTTATTTAAAATTTGGTTCCATGTACAGAGAAGTTAAATGACTAATTTTAATTTTACTACACTTGGGTAAATTAATAAGTCATTATTATGTTTTGCTGCTGTAAAAAATTTTTAATGTTTTACATCAATTGCTGATGTTATTTTCTTTTTTTAAGGTATGCAGAATCTGTAGGAGCAAAACATTATCATACTTCAGCCAAACAAAACAAAGGAATTGAGGAACTCTTTCTTGATCTTTGTAAAAGTAGGTATATTCAGATTTAGTGTGCCTAAAAATGGTTCTTTTTAAAGCATTGGTAGTGTTTCTAAAGTGATATTTTGACAATTTCCATTAATGTCCACATAGATGATTTGTTGCATCTACCTGTACTACTGTTTGTTTATTTAACTTATTTTTTAGAAAATTTTAAATATCTTACTTTAGCTGTGTTTTAAATAGTAATTAGCACACATGGAATGATATGAATGGTATGTGCTAAATGCATAAAAATATATGCATAAGTATTATGCAGATTAAAACACCTATAAGAGCTGTAACAGTCTGTTGTAGGGGGTGGACCTTATTTAGATTCTGATTTGACAAACTAATGAAAAACATTTGTGAAACAATTAGGAATATATAACACTTGATGGATACTTGGTGATTTAAGATATAATTGTCAGTTTTTTAGTGTGATTATAGTGGTGTAATTAAACTTTTAAAAAGTTCTTTGAGGTGCATATCAAAATAATTCACGAATAAAATTGTTTCTAGGCTTTGATTTAAAATAATGATACAGATCTTTAGGTATGGACAAAATCAGGTGATAAGATTTCATTATGCTATTTTTTTTCTACTTTTACCTATGTTGAAATTTTCCATATAAAAATTGTTTAAAGTAAGTTTTTTAAAAATATGTAACCTGCAAGGGAAATACGTTTTTAAAAAATATGTAACCTGTAAGTTATTTTCTTATATTGCCAGTAGAATGCGTATCATATTTAGGAAAACCCTGGTCTATGCAATAAGAGATTGAAATGACTTTGGCAAATTGTATTTCTTAAATTTATGGACCTCAGACTCTTGAGAAATTTGACAAAAGTGATTGTGTGTCTGTCTGTCTGTCTGTCTGTCTCTCTCTCTCTCTCTCTCTCTCTCAAAATGCATACCTTTATAAACTTTGAAGTAAATTTCAGTTTTATGAAACCCTGAAGTCATTCATAATTTTTCTGGAATAGTGATTATCTAAATGAGATATTCTTATCAGCAGCATCACTTGAGAATGTGTTAGAAATGCAAATTCTTGGACTCTGCCCCAAACCCTACAGAATCATAATCTCTGGAGATGGCAACAAAAGTCTTTATTGTAATGACCCCCTGCCCCATGATTCTGATGCACACTGAAATGTGCAAATCCTTCACATGAATCAGTTGAGGATCTTGTTAAAATATGTAATTTGATGTTGCAGATTTGCCCTGGCACCCAAGTGGTGATGATGCTATTCCTCACACCAGACTTGTAGTAAAAGGTTCTAGATCCTAATGGCTTACCAATGTGATAAATCTCACACCTTCATAATTTTTTGAGTATTCTCCATGTTTACTTAGAAATCATGAAACACACATAAGTACTAATGTATGTTATACATTTTAAAGTGTACCTAAAGATAGAAATTTTGAAAGGTTAAAAAAAAATAAGAAATAGATTTCATAATTTTCCTTATTTCATTTAATTGGATTATCCCACACACCTTAATTTGGAAGCTATTCTTTATGAGCAGTCTCTGAACCCAAATGTTAGAATCTTCATCTTATTTCAGGGACTCCTTATTTTTTTCTCTCATTTTGTCAATTATGTATTTTGCAAATATTTTCTGCTAGTCTGTCTTGAATTTTATTTTTGTCTCTTAAGAGCAAAAGGCTTTTATTTTGTTTTGTGTGGTACTAGGGATTGAACCCAGGGGCATTTTGCCACTGAGCTGTATCCCTAGTCTTCCCTGCTCTTCTATTTTAAAATTCTGAGACAGGGTCTCACTGTGTTGCCCAGGTTCCTGCCTCAGCCTCTCAAGTAGCTGGATTACAGGTGTGTATCACTGTGCCTGGCTTAAAAGTTTTAAAATTTCATTGAGATTGAGTTTATCAATTTTTTAATGATTTTTTGGGTCTTATTTGAAAATCTAAGCCAGAATCACAGAATATTTCTCCTACAAAGATTTTTTATCCTATGTTTTTTTCCTAGATTTTTTGCTTTTATGTAATTGTGTTTAGGTAACTTTTCCTGATTTTTGCATATGGTGTTGAAGTACAGGTTAAAGTTTATTTTTTACAAATACTTGTTCGGTTTTGGTACCATTTCTTGAAAATATTATTCTTTCGTCATTGAATAGCCTTGGCACATATGTCAGAAATCAAGTAACTATGTATGTGGTGGTCTTTTTTTGGACTTTATTTTCTGTTTCATTTATCTGTTTCTTCTTTCATGAAGCAAAAACTGTCTTAGTATATCTTTATCAATGAGTCCTCCAACTGTTCTTATAAGCTCCTTCATCTTAAACTCTTATTCATTCAAATATCATTCACGGGCTGGGGATGTGGCTCAAGCGGTAGCGCGCTCACCTGGCATGCGTGCGGCCCGGGTTCGATCTTCAGCACCACGTACAAAGATGTTGTGTCCGCCGAAAACTAAAAAAAAATAAATAAATCAAAAAAACAAATATTATTCACTTAAATTATTGAAGAATAAATCCTTCGCCCTAAATATCACTTGTACTTGGAATAACTTGAACTTTGACATATCACTGATATGTCAAAGATTGTATGTTTGAAAGATTTTTAGGATTATACTTGTACAGTTATTTTCTCAAAGCCCCAAAAAAAAAAAAAAAGTTTTTTTTTCTATTGCTATCACTGTGGCCAATATACCACTGTTTATATTGATGCTCGCTACTGAAACTAGTTCTTGAAACTTGTGTAAATCTATTATAGTGAGCTAAGTGTTCATTATATTTAATTTCCTTGTTGATTAAAAATCAGAAATAGCTCTCATAGTGGTATACTGAAATTATAGAAAGAGGAAACTCAAAGATTGTAGAATTAATAATTTTTGCTCTCTCCCTATCTTTAGGGATGATAGAAACGGCACAGGTGGATGAGAGGGCAAAAGGCAATGGCTCCAGTCAACCAGGAGCTGCAAGGCGAGGTGTACAGATTATTGATGATGAGCCTCAAGCCCAGAGCAGTGGTGGAGGATGCTGTTCTTCTGGATAACCATTCAAGCCTAAGAAATTAAAAAATAAAACAAAACTGTGGATCATTGCCCTCAACATGAAGACTGCCATATTCCAAGTCACATTATTTTACCAATGGAGTTATAGAATTAACAGTATTTTAAATTACATTTATAACACTGCAGAGACCTTAAGTGCTAAACTTAGTGGAGTTTGTGACCAGAGAATTGGCATTTTCTACAAATGTTAACAAAGCAATTACCAATGGCCTTTTTACATATTTTTTTCTTTAATGAGGAATAATATGCATGTAGAAAAGACCTACTTAAAGGCTTCATTTATATTCTTTTAAATCAGATCTTTATTTAATAACTTATATATGTTGTTGGAATGATATACATTTTTGCAGCCCTTTGTATTTTGTGGTAGTTTGAATTGTATCACTTCTCAACAGCAAACTGTTTTTGTTTTTGTTTTTGATTAGCAGATACCTGAAGTACTATTTTTGCAGGGTTTGCACAGGCCCCTAACTGTCTACTACTTTGATATAATCTAAATACATCCTGTACGCTGAGCTGGTAAAATACATTGTAAATTACATATTAAATATTTTATCTGCTTTTACAAGCGCAAGGTGCAAAAATATTTACAGTAGTCTCATTGATGACCGTAAAGTGAATTAACATTTGGTGATAATGCCTAAGCTTTTTGACTGATACAAAGATCATCGCTCCCTTTCACTTTTGTCTTAACTTAAAAGTGGCGTGTTTAAATTTTCACACATATTTTACTTGAATTATTGCTGTTGTCACATTTTTTGCCTTTCTAAGTCCATCTGATGATTGAACAGCAGCATTTGCCTTTTGGTTTGGATTTTGGGTTTGTTTTAGAGTTTTTTGTGTGTGTGTGCGTACGAGTGTGTGTGTGTGTGTGTGTGTCAGTGTATGTTGTTGGTTTTTTTAATAAAAAGAGATGACTTCTGCTGATTTTTGCTTTACAATGGTTACCTTAGAAGAATTTGAGTGGAGCATGCTGAGTTTCACTTCTGCAACAGCTTTAGATTTCTTAGGCTTTATATAAGCTGGGTTCACTGGCATGAGAAAAGAGGAAGAGGTCCCAGATTGTAACCACTCACGAAGACTCATTCATATAGCATGTTAGTGGTATTTATGCTCCTGAGGCAGCACTTGTGAGCAAGTCTGTTTGTTCATTGCTTGTCAGAGATGAACACAGAACATTCTGTTCATTTTATAAGAGCTATCCTGAGCTTCTGTAGAGGGAAGCATTTCATGTAATGCAGTTATAGCAGACACTGGAAAGATTTATTATGAAATTATATTCTTGTATACTTTGTAAATTAGTCCCTCATTAGACTGCTTTCTTTTAGCATAGGACTGAACTTAAATTTGTTAATTTTAATAGAATCAGGTGCTGCTCACAGAAGGAACACAGATTGTAGAAATTAACATGAATTGTTCTTGTTCTAATATATATATATTTTTCCATTTCTGTCATGCTTGGAAAACTAGTAAATGTTATGTCTAAGTTAAAATGGAATGGTCCTTGGATTTACTTATAAGAAGCAGAGTATACAATAAAGCTGTTAGCATGAGCGATTAAGAGGATATATGGGGTTATAGTTACTGAAGAAGTACTATCATATTTTTAAGTTAATAGCTTAAACCTTCTCAAATGGGTTAAAAGTTGAAATGACTTGACACCTTGATGTTGTGATGTTAGAATTTTATCGTAGTATTAAATGTTCTTTAAGCCCTCACTTAACATTCTTTATTGTCCTTGCCAAACTCAGCATACTGACCTCTTATGTTATGTGTTTGAGGATGGTGGGAGTGGGAAGAGTTGGAGATAAGCTAAAATTGTCTCCTTTTATGGGATGATTATGCTCTGTATAATCTCTTGGTTTCCTGTGAAGTCAGCATTTATTCAGGGATGGAAGAGGCAGTGGGAATCTTGAGTCTCCCATGAAAGTTATGTTTTTGCCCTTTTGGCTCTTTTAGAGGGAGTAAAGAAAGTTTTGCTGTTCCTACTTTTAAGATGATAAATAAGCTTTTCTCATTGGTGTGCAATGTGTTTTGTAAACTAGAGGTGAAATTCAGCTTTATTCCAAAAGTTAGTTTTAAAACCTGATAATTGGACAACTATACTTCCATTTTTTACCCTCTTTATTATTAAATTCCAGATTGGAATAATAAATGGGAATTTAAATTAAATTTATTATTAAATTTATCTAGTTGCCAAATTATTGGTAGGGCATAACTATTTTCCATATTTTTTCCCTTACCTTTCCATGATTTTTGTGTATTTTTCTTAACCTCAAGTATTTTGCCCACCCTTCTCCCCCTGTGTGTGTCTGTCTCCACCTTCTCCGCCCCCCCCCCCAAACTTGTAATTCAGGTTAATTTAATAGCAACAATAGGTAGTAGGTTATTTCTGTTGCTTTGAATCTCAAAAGGTCTTTAAGGTAGGTATAAGGTGAAGGAGTGATGAAATTGGATCAGTCAGCTGCAGTATGTATAAGAGGAAAGAAAAAGAGAGGATAAACCCCAAGCTAGGAAGTTTTTCTGATACTTTCTTCATTTCTATGTATCTTTTATGTTCCTGTCCTAATAATTGTGCTATTAGGAAGAAAACACAAGTTATGATGTTGTATGTTAAAAAGTATAGGTAGGTAGAACAAATATATTTTGAACTAATAAGTTGAAAAATTGGTTTTAGGATAGTTATTAAAAATTCTCAAGTGCTTAATATTATGTTAAAAGTATATAGTTATTGTTTCTCTAATGACGGTGGGTATTCTGCTTCTTGTTTTGCTTTCTGATTACAGGGGAAGGTTATTTTTAAAAATGTATATTGCAACAATTTGGGATAACATTAACCTGAAAAGAACAAAACATTATGTTATTGTATGAAATATGAATGTTTGAATTTGTTTTGTCTGGAGTATCTCCTGAGACTACCTATAGATATGCTTTTTTTTTTTAACTAATAGAAGTTATTAATGGGGTTCTTTTTCTTTGGCATTAATTAAAGAATGATATTTTCATCTTTAGATTTCTAGTAATAGAAAGTAAAATTGAGGAAATGGGAAAAGAAGGTAGTGAAGAATGGAATGGAAATCAAGTAGATATTAAACTCTACAACCTGACATTTTAAAAATCAGTTTGAAAAATACATTGCTTTTCTCAAATAGTTTCTAAATAATGCAAGAGAGTCATTGTGCCAAATATTTGAAAGATTTTTAAAAGGTAGATTATGATACTGTGTTTCTTTTAACATATAATTTGCAATTTTCTGTAATATAAGTGCTATTGGGAGTCTAGATCATTGCTCATCTCTATTACCTCCATATAATATAATTTGCCCATAATATAAATTACCTCTAGAGGTAGTTTTTTTCTGTGCTTTTAACATTCAGATTTTATCTTCTGTTAATTATTTGAACTTTTCATGGTTTTCTTTGTAGATAAAGTGTGACAAGGAATACGTAATTTGTGATCTTTTACTATGTTGGGATATTTAGGTAGAGGGTGTAGACAGTAGTGGCCAACAGGAGCAACTAAAGATAAAGGACTGAGTAGATCCTTACGTACTCTTTTAATTACAAAATGCATGACCTAGATTTTAATAAAAAGCAGGAATTGTTGAATTACATATACTTGATTTCATCATAGGCATTGATTTCACTTGCTGTTCTGTTATTTTTAATCACCTGTGACAGTAGTATATTTGGTACTATGGATGAAAATTCATACCATAATATGTCTTGACTTTGGCCTTTCTCTCTTCAAGAAAACAAATTAATTACAATTTTGAGCAAAATTTTCCTAATTGTGTTTTAGTGTTATATATAACACTAAATAGAATATAATAGAACAAATTAGAAATTCTTTTAAGAGTTTCCAATTTGAAGCAGAAATACTTCTCTTCTAAACAATAGCACATTAATTTGGTACACTTCTTAGTGCTGCTTATACTATCCAAGATTTATGTCTCATCTCTTTTCTGAAAAGCTTTTATGCTTTTTGAGTGTAACTCTTTTTACTGCAACATTTTCTCTTTAGTAAATATGGTAAGTTAATGTTACTTGCTGTACCCAGTAAAACTTTTATTCTTAAAGCATCTTGTCCTCTTTAGAAGGCTTACACATATGTATCTCATGAAAACTACAAGTCAAGAGATGGGGGTTGCCTTCTTAAATGGCCTTAATTCCCAATATACCAGTTCTTACTCTTGATTCTGATATTTCCTATCAAATATCTACTCATTATCAAGTGCTTAAGAAAAAGCAAATAATTTACTTAAATGAAACATGATGAAAAAAAAAGATGAAGGATAACAAGAATTAAAGTACAATAATGTTGAAGAAAGACAATTGTATTTGCTAAACTGTTATCTTTGGCAGTTTAGGGAAACTATCATATGTAGTACTTCCTAGAAATATAAGAGTTCCTTTTTTTTTGTATTTATTATGTAAGAATACATTCTAGGAAAAAATTAAAAAGAGATGTTGTCAACATGTCCCTTTATGCCCCCTTCCAAATGATAACTATTGCTCTCTTGTATATGCTCCTCAATCACCTTTTCACTAAACATTTATATACATACATGTTTCCTTATAGAAATACATAGTCTTGTGGGTATTAATTTTGTGTCTTATTATATACATGTTTTGCAACTTTTACCAACATGTCCAGAAGCTCTTGGTTCAGTAAATACCTGCTTTCTCCTTTTCTTCCATGTCTCTTGGGATATGTTTTTGTTTTGTCATGTTTTTTTCCTTTTAATAGCTTCTTACTTTGCATGAAGCCTTCCCAAAAGGAATGTGGTCAATTAGGTGGATCTCATTGGCATCATAGATAATTTTAACCAGAATTGGGTTATCTCCTAATCTTGTGAATCAGGAAACTGGAAAGTTATCTGCTAACAACTCATTTGAAGTTTATTACTTTGAGCCTGTGGTCCCCTTGCCCCCCAAATAAAATAAAACTTAGGCATCAACTTTAACAGATTTTTTTACACATTTTTATACAGCTCTGAGTAGTTAACTTTTGTAACATTGGACTTCATGCTACCCAAAATTAAAACTTCTTTGTGTGTGCCTTTAATATAAAGTAAGAAGCAAAAGTCCTTTTTAGATCTCTCTTTACCCATCACCCCACATCGGTTCTTAGAGGTAATTATTGTCAAAAGTTTGGCTTAGGTTTGTGTGTCTCATAAAATTTTAGAATTTTTCAGTTTCCCAAGTAACACTTCTACCGTGTGTCTCATCCTCAGTTGATCCACTTACCAACAAACTAGAATCGCACTTAAAAAAATTTTTTTTAGTTGTAGTTGGACACAGTTCCTTCCTTTCTTCCTTTCTTCCCTCCCTCCCTCCTTCCCTCCTTTTTTCCTTTCTTCCTTTCTTTATTATTATTATGTGGTGCTGATGATCGAACTCTGTACCTTGCACATGCTAGGCTAGGCGCGGGCTCTACTGTTGAGCTACAACTCCAGCCCCAAATCACATTTTTTTTTTTTTTGAAGAGCATACCTTTTTAATGAAATGTAAGTCAGTGTCAGTTCTGAAAGTAGGGGTTTACATACGGGAAACTAGATAGCTAACTGCTTTCCTTTGTAATTGGAGTTTAAGATGGAGAACAGAATACTTGACTATACTCCAAGATGTAAGTAGTTCACCCTTGGCTATTTGGTCCACTAAGCACACACATTTGAATTAAGCATTTGATTAAGTGTATAGCTGCCAAACTTTGAGGTGTAGTAATTAGAATGCCATTAGTTGAAATTTACTGAATTTGAGGTAAAACTGGACAGAATGTTTTAAAAGTCTTGCAAATAATACATTTACAAGCCAAGTTGAAATAGAGAAACATTTTCTAGCTTACAAGGGGTAATTAAATGACCCTCTATTCCACATTGCTTTTCCAGATTTTGTTGTAGCACTGAGAGATAGACACCTTTTGCTTATTTAAACAGTTGCCATTTTATTTTATGTTTGGTTTATGTTTTCTTTTAATCTAGAAGAAATACAATATAAAAAGCAATCATATTGGTTTTGCCTTTAACAGTGTTGCCTTGTTACACAGTAACCCTGGACACAATGCATTCCTAGTTATATTAGGTACTTTCAAAGATTACAACATAGGATAGTTTGTGTATTTCTGGATTCATTTTCTAATTCAAGTATGTGGATGCCTTCTTCTTACCTGAAATTAAAGATATAGGTTAGAAAGATATAGTTTAATGAATATCTGAAATTTCTGGTTTTATTTCCAGTGTCATTTAAGGATATGTTTGATTACAGTATGATGGAGTTAAGGCATCTAGGGCACTTCTTGGCCCTTTTGGAAAAATACAGTAAAATCAGTTTTATAAAATGCATTCCTTGAGCTATGTAGAAGTAATTTCTATTCATCTGCATTTTGCATTTTTTTTTAGTACTTAGGATTGAACCCAGGACTTCATCTTAGAAAAAATGAATAATTTTAATAATATAGTGTTAGTTCTTAAAAATGGAAAAAGCCTGTAAAGGCAAGACAAAAAATCCTTTGAGGCTGGACACGGTAGCACCTGTAATCCCAGCGGCCTGGAAGAATCACGAGTTCAAAGCCAGCCTCAGCAAAAAGCAAGACCTAAGCAACTCAGATCCTGTCTAAATAAAATACAAAATAGAGCTGGGGAGTGGCTCAGTGGTTAAGTGTCACTGAGTTCAATCCCAAATAACCCTCCCTCCCCCACCCAAAAAAAAAAAATCCTTTGATAACTATAGGCTTAATCTCCAGGGTGACAATTACTTATCTGGTCTAAAATCTGTGATATACCTCCCATATTGAATTCCATTTTAATCTTTATACATATGTGGACACAATACCTTAATTATATTTAGTTTTATGTGGTGCTGAGGATTTAGTCCAGTGCATCACATGTGCTAATAAGCAAGTACTCTACCACTGAGCCACAACCCCAGCCCCCCCCATTTTGACCTTTTAAAACCTGACCATAATCTTTATCTGAATAGTTGGTTGCATGAGTAACTCCTCCTCATCAAAAGGTTTTAGGCAGCAGCAGTGACCCAAGAAATTTATTGATGAAAACCATGATTTTGAACTTTATTGAAGATGGGGCATTATTCAGGGAGACATGACATTCTGAGTTCTAGTTTCTAGGGTAACAATTTACTAAATGCTCATCTTTGGACTGTTGCCTTAAGGCTGACATTTTATGGTTCTTATTCTTCAACATTTGGTTTGCTGCTCTGCCAGGACTGAAGCTGCCTCTTCCAATCAAAAATTTAAACAACAATTCTAACAAGATATATAATTATTTATAAAGTAATTACCACATATGAGCAATTCTCATCTGTGAAATGTTTGACAGGATAAACTTTTAAAACTAGGGGTAATTAAATGAAGAATTAGATGTAAAACAAAGTATAATGTTGATTGAGAACAATCTGGTATATGACTTTATAAAAAAAATTCTAAGAATGTGGGTGTAATTAATTAGAGAAATTAAAGTGGGTATGATTTGTAATTGTATTAAAAACCAAGAATCCAAAAGTAGCCACTAAAAAAAATAATAATAATAAAATAAATTGTGAGAGGATCACAGCATTTCTAGTGTAGGCGCTTAAAAAAAAAAATAAGCAAAAATATCTGCCACCCTAAGCCAAGCACTGCTTTGAAAGAAAACAAAAGGTTGTTGGGGGTAGGGACTTGTATTTAGTGAAAATGGAAAAGTTTCGGATGTCCTTAGCCTAATAATGACTTAAGTCAGCTTAAACTTTAATCATTAGGGAAGGTAAGGATTGGTTCTGTGATCTGCAGTAACTTAAGGCTTAACTAGTGTCTCTTTCTCTGTCAGCAAGAAATTAGAAGCTTCTAGCTACCAGTCATTTGTGTGAATAATTCTAAATTTTTCATGTCATATATTTTACCAGTACTGTCCTTGATTTTCCTTACCATTTATACTTTTTTTTTTTTTTTTTTTTTTGGAGTGCTGTGGATTGAACCCAGGGCCTTACTTATGGTAAGCAAGTGATCTATCACTGAGCTACAAGTCTAGCCCTGTCAACACATTTTTTAAAACCTTATTAGGATTATGCTTGTTTTTGGAAACTCTAAAAGTGGATAGTCAGATCTGTTCGTCACTATTTTTGCCAGTATAGTATCCAAAAAAATTCATCTCTGATAGGAAAATTTTTAAGTATATGTGAAGTTTTCAGCTTCTTTAGTTTTCCAAGACAATTTTACTATTTTTTTGTTTTTGTTTTCTGATTTCTTGTCAATTCAAAGTCGCTCATGCCAGTTACCTTATAACTAATTCAACACATTTGATGGGATATGCAAGGCAAAGCATTACTTTAGCAAGTAAACGGAAATGAGTTTTTATTATAATGTACATACTAAGGAATGCTAAAAGGAACCTCTGCAAATGTCCAATCAATCAGACATTCCAAGAATGAAACAGGAAACAGGAGAAGAGGTAAAGCATAAAATAACATTGAGTCATATAAATTCAGGTTATCACCTAACAGTGATTAGCTGTGTAGATGGATATTTATCTGTTTATCCAAATAAAGTAACCAAAACCAATTCTAGTTAATTTCATTTGAGTACTGTTGTCAGGGCATCCATGGTGGTGATATGAATTCATTCGTTAGACCTACAAATCTCAATTATCTGCCTTTGATAAAATAATAGTAATTTTAAAATAGGAACATTTGGAAGTTTATGCTTCATTGTTGAGATTTGGGAGTAGTATGTACACAGTCAGTATAGAGTCCAAGGAATCTAAGGTCAAGGAAGAATTGATTACTGAAGCAATGAAAGGACATCCTTATGTGGCTTGAGAAGAGATATAGGAATTGCTCTGGGGGTAGCATCTCATGGTCTTGTGGAAAATCCACAAATACCCATTTTGGCAGGCAATTTCAAGAGCTGTCTCGCCTGTACTTTCCCTGAATTTTCATCTTGTTTCTAGCTTTTACTTCATCTTTCAAAAACTTAATTTGGAGATTAGAATTTTTACCATATTTTAAATGACCTGGAGAATAAATGAATTATATAATTTTTTGATTTTATGAAGCTTTTTTTCCTCTTGCAATACTAGGGATTTAACTTTTTTTTTTTTTTTTTTTTTAATTTGACAGAAGGTCTCAATAAATTGCCCAGGCTTGTGATTCTTCTGCCTCAGCCTTCTGTATATCTGGGATTACAGGCACTTGCCATCGTGCCTGGTGATTTTTTTTTCTTTAAAGATGATATGTAGGTAACTGGTATAGTTTGGTTTATTCTTTCTACCTAGGTAACTGGTGTAATCTAAGTATAATTAGCTTTAAACCTCTTAAACAAGAGAGAAGATAAAACATACCTTTCATTATACATGGTTAATATTACAAAATATCCCCACTTCCCCTGAGAAATAGTATATCCAAAATACACTTGTATATGTGAGGTACTGGGTTCAATCCTCAGTATCACATAAAAATAAATAAATACAGATAGTGTGTCCATCTTCAACAAAAAAATAGTTTTTAAAATACACTTAGATGACATATATAAGTTGATTGAATAGAAGTGAACACAAATACATCTTCAAACTTCCAACTGTTTAAGAATATTTTACAGCATTGGTAATATGAAGAAAATGTTTAGATTTATTTTTAAATTTAAAATTCTTCTGATTGTTCTCCTCTAAGGGGCCTTAGAGGTGAAAAGGTAATTAGACTAC